GAGCTACAATAATAACAAATCAAATAAATTAAAATGGATAAAGTATTTGTTTTAACCGCAGCAGTGTTCATGCGATCAATGCCTCTTCATTTGTCTCTTTTCTCTATGACAAAATGCCGACATTCTTTTTGAGATGATTAGAGTGGGTTAAGCATGTGTCTTTTTTAATTTTATATTATTATTTGATTTAATCTTTCTCAAGGATGGACATTGGACAGAGTTATCAAGCTCATCCAGACACATAATTATTAAAAGAAAGTGTTTAACACTTTAAGAAAAGGCTAATATGGACCTATTAGAGTAGTTTTAGATATCTACTAATTAGTTGGCTTTATACTAACACTCTACTAATAATTCAACATCAATGCATATTGCACTGTGATAGGGTTTTTATTTAACACCAATGCATACTGCACTATCAACCGTTTATGCTCTATAATAGGTTGTCTTTGTTGTCTCGAAAAATCTCATTTCGAGTCCAAAAGAAGATGTAGGGGTGGGTGTTAATAATTGCGCAAATTGTGTCTAATGGTATAAGATTATAAAACAAAGCAACAAATTTATATAGAATAAGTATACAGATGAACTATCTTTTGATTAAACAAAAGAGAAGCAAATCAAATTGCTCGTCATTTATTTATAATGTCAGGAAGAAAACTGATATTCTTGTTAAATAATTTGTTTGGATAATAATTGGAATGTACTGGTGAATATGCTTCTGTTGTCCCCTCATTCTATTCAAGAAGTCGGTCAGCTTCTGGATTTCTTTTGTTTTCTATATGAACTTGCAGAAAAAGATTTTGTGAAATTTGCGGTGATATAGGTTTCTAAACAGCAATTATTACCTGCCATTGCTGCAAAGATGGTTGACGTGCATCAGTAAGTTCTCTCTGCCTTTTTAGCATGAAAGGGTGGACAATCAGTCAAGCGAGCTGAAAGCCATGATTCTCTGATCCATTCTTGCTTCATCACCTTGTGCCACATCTATATGAATATTGGAATACAGGAAAAGAAAAAAACTGAGTGATGGACAGTGAGCTCCATTACTTCAGCAAGCTACTAAGCCTTTCCTAACTTCATAGCATCAGAGGTAACTACCGCATAGAGTACGGCACACACACATGATCAATATATCTTACGTACACCAAGATATTTACCATAACCTAATTTTAAAAGAATCAAATATGTTGTACTATCAATTTAATTAGATAGTGATGTACATTCATGATTAAGTTTTGGTGTACAGTGTATTACAATACAAAATCCATACATCAAATCAAGATATAATCAAGAATTTCTCAACTGTTTTGTATAATTAATTTAATTAAAACTTGTGCATTATTATTTTAACATTTGTGTCTAGATCAATATCATCCATAAAGGTTGCTAAATTTGATTTTGGTTATATGTCAAATATTACAATGAATAACACCATAATATACAACCTTATTGAATAATCCGTTTTAACAATTTACAAACAAAACTACTGCCAAACAACATACGAAGCATTCATTCAAGCAAAAAATTTCATGGTTAATACATCGATTTACATATAAATCCAAGCAACAAAAACAACAAAACAACTTAAAACAATTAAAATCAAACTATATATTTTAGCAATCAAACTCAAAAAAATAAAATTGGTACATACTTGTTACACCCCATCTTTCATCGTGCTAAATTAAAAATGATATATTGTTATTTTAAATCATTGAAACAATTATCAAAGAAGATAGAGAGTTCTATTCTAGTTACAATACTTGTTTGAGGTTATGAGAGAGAAACATTAATTAATTATTGGGAGATTTGTGGAAGGTAAATAACAAAATGGAAGAAAATTAAGGAATGAAATCTTATTTTTGGATTGGAACGTGTATTGTTTTTTTTTTAAATTTATCTATTTTTTTTTTTTTGGGTTTGTATTGTTTTGTAAAAATTCTATTGCTATGTAGGTGAAAAGACAAATTATTGTTAATACAAAAAATAATCAAGAGTGGCTGAGGATTTTTCTCAACACTAATCAACCTAGTTAAATAACAAAGTTTTTTTCTTCAGTTTGCCTTGACTGTTTAACACGTATACGCTAGATGACATATTACAATTAATTATTTAACTTTTGTATAATGTGCTTATACTTTATAATTATTGGTTCTACATTTATTTTTTTCTCTTTTTATCCTTTTCTCTATACACAATACACACTCTGTGTGTTTTTGTGTGTGTGTGAGAGAGAATATTATATATGTATTATATCGGTTTGATTTGAGTTTAATTTGATTTAATTTTTTGTTAAAACAAAAAATAATCAAGAGTGGGCGAAGATTTTTCTCAACATTAAATCAACCTAGTTAAATCACAAGTCAGTTTGACTTGACTAATTGACATGTATATCACTAAACGACACAATGCAATTAATTATTTACTTTTTGTATAATCTGCACTAGCTCTACATTTATTATTTTAATTTTTTAATCCTTTTCTTTGTACACAATGTGCTCGCAATATATATATATATATATATATATATATATATATATATATATATATATATATATATATATATATATATATATATATATATATTGTGTGGGTGTGTATGCGTGCGTGCGCGCGCACGTGTGTGTGAGAGAGAGATAGAGTATTATATATGTATTATGTCGGTTTGATTTGAGTTTAGTTTGATTTATTTTATTTTTTTAATACAAAAAATAATCAAGAGTGGCCAAGGATTTTTCTCAACCTTAAATTAACGTAGACAAATTAAATCACAAATCAAATTTTTTTCTTTAGTTTGACTTGACTCTTTGACATGTCTATCGCTAAACGACATAATGCAATTAATTATTTACTTTTTGTATTATCTGCACTGGCTCTACATTTATTATTTTCTCTTTTTATCTTTTTCTCTATACACGAACACTATATATATATATATATATATATATATAAACACACACATAAACACACAAAAGACTATTCATTATAATACACTAGATTTGGGCGTGTTGAGATTAGAACTTCAACTTTTAAGGTATGATATCTATCTTTTTCTTCATTTATGTGCTCTTAATCTTTATTGTTTGATTTAATTTTTTTAATATACAAAAAATAATCAAGAGTGGCCAGGGATTTTTCTCAACATTAAATAAACCTGGTCAAATCACAAGTCATTTTTTCTTTGGTTTGACTTGACCGTTTGACATATATCGCTAAACGACAGAATGTAATTAATTATTTACTTTTATATTATCTGCACTGATTCTACATTTTGTTGTTTTCCTTTTTTATCCTTTTCTCTATACACAATACACACACTTTCACCTATATATACACCTCAAGAGACTATTCCTTATAATACACTTGATTTAGACGTGTTGAGATTAGAGCTTCAACTTTTAAGGTATGCCATCTATCTTTTTCTTCATTTATGTGTTCTTAATCTTTATTTTAACTAAATTCTCTCTCTATATATATTTATATATATTGTGTGTGTGTGAGAGAGAGAGTATTAATGAGTACGAGAAAGGATCTCCTCCTAGTGATAAAGTGTACTTTCTGCAGGAACGGCCGGGAAATGTGCAAAAATTGTCTTCTGTGATTTTCTTTTTTTGGTCTGAAATTAAATTTATTACTCAAAACTTATGTGACGTGTAGGACCGATTCTGATTTTTTTTCATTGTTGGTGTGCTGCTGTGAAGCGCAAATGGCCACTCACGATCAGAGGCAAAAGGGACAAGGCCCCCATAAGGTAAACCCAATTTTTTTTGTTTAGTAAGTTCTTACTACGTGTGTCGCAGTTAAATTTTTAAGAGTTTATTTTTACAAAAAATTGATTGAATTTTGACATGAAATTTTTATTTTTTTATAAATGAAATTACATATTTGAAATTATACAAAAATAATTTTTAAGTAATAATAAATTATAATTCATAATATTTAAAAGACAAGAAAAAAAGGTCACGAAGGAACATTATTCAAAATTTAAAATGTACCATATAAATTGAACGAAAGAGTATATTATACTTTTCTTTGTTTTTACTCGTCCAATTTTGAGTTGTTTTGTTTTCTTCTAATTTTGACATGTTAAAGAGAGCCTAATAAAGTAAACAATGATAGTAATGCCGACACTACAAAAATACACATTGAAATTAAAGAGTTGGGATTATTTTTTATAAAAAGTTAAAAATAATACTCCATCCATCTCAATTATGTGGCACCTTTCGGATTTTGAGATTTAAATAAGTCTGTCTTTGCCATAAATTTTTTCATATATCTTTAAAATATTTAAAATTGGCAATCATTGTGACTTATACTATTTTTTACATAGTTTATGAATATATATTTATTTCTTTTAAAAAATTTAAAGATTTCACAATGACTTGTCAATTTATATTCAGAAACTACGTAAATAGTAGTTTAAGTCACAATGGTGGTCAATTTAAAATATTTAAGGGATATATCAAAAATTATGGTCAAAGTTAGACTGTTAGACTCTCGCGAAGCGAAATGTTCCACACAAATTGGGACAGAGGGAGGAGTAATAAATCAAATAAATTAAAATAGAGGAAGTATTTGCTTTACCTATAGACTGTTCATGCGATCAAGGTTTATGCTCTATAACAGGTTGTTTATGTTATTATGAAAAATTTCATTTCGAGTCCAAAAGAAGATGTAGGAAAGGATGCTAATAGCAACATAAATAATGGGTAATGGTATAAAATTAAAGTACAAAACAACAAACATAAATAGAATATGTATACAGATGAACAAACTTGTATACCTGATCACATTTTGCCCCCTCATTCTTCATTCTGTTCGTATGGTGGTAATCTCAATTCTGTGCAACAAAAGAAGTTGAATAGAGCCCTTTAATAGCATCTAAATACTTGTTCATCGCCAGAACTAAAGGCCAATATGAGCTTCACTTAAGTTGGATTAAGAGTCGGCCAAAATCTAAATTTCTTGTGTTTTCTGTGTGAACTTGCAGAAATTTTTTTGTAAACTTTGCGGTGATGTAGGATTTCAAATTGCAACAGTTATCGGCCATGACGGTAAAGATGTTGACGTGCACGAGTAAGTTCTCTTTTTATTTTTAGCGTGAAAGGGTAGTCAGGTGAGCTGAAAGCCACAACTCTCTTATCAGTACTTGCTTCATCACTGAAGGGCTGCTCCAATTCGAGGGAAATTGCTAATTAGATTATCAGTTTTTTTAACATGCTTTCATTAGCATGTTGTGACATTTAATTTTATTAAATATTGTCTGTGCTTTTTATGCACACGTAACCCTCTTCCCTGTTTTCAAAAAATCTGTCTTTTCTCTTCCTTTCAGGTATTGCCAGGTAGACTGTTATAAAGGTGCACCAGATAATTGGTGTTGTGAAAAATGTGTCAAAAAACAAAAAAATGAGAACTCTGAGGGACCAGAGATACATGTCTCTACAAGTATTTGTCAAAGCACTCTTCCACTAGAGATACGTAGTAAATTTATTGGTGAGGGTGATATCAATTGGAAAAGAGGAACAAATCAGGAAAACAAAGTATCTACCTGTTGAAGAAGCAATTGGTCTATTGAATTCTGGCTCTTCAAGAGTTACGTTAACTAAATCCAAGACGACTGAGACTCGAGGGAATTTAAGCAAACCTAGAACTCAGATTTCAGATGTTTTTCCTAAGAAGAGAACACTGCAGTATTCTTTAGGGTTAACAGGATATAAGAAACCTCACAATTTTCTAAATTTCAAAACAATCGAACCGAGCATAAAACAAGTCGAATCATCTAAAGGTTAATTTTCACCAACATTTCTTGTATTCATTACTTATTCAAATATATTCTTTTCTTAGGTCTCTATTCATTAGAAATTTCATTTTCTATCATATATTATTGTATTTCCATCTAGTTGATGTAGCCTGCTTGTTAGGTCTTGGGGGAGTTACCATTCTAGAGCATATGAGTTTCAATGTTGTGAAAGCGAGTGGAATGATGAATCCACCTATGACACACCCTTGTGATCCTGCTCTAGCTCATTCCTGGAAGTAAGTACCCTTCATCATGTACATTTATTACTAACTGTAATTTAATTCATCTTTGTTTTTGGATGGCCCATCTTTGCTAACAGTCAAGTGACTGATTAAACTCTTTTTTTATACGTTCCCTATTGATAAGTATGGATATATATGTAATACTTTTTAGTTAACAACATAATGTTGGTTCCGAGGAGATGGCCATGTGGTTAAGATATATGAGTAACAACTTTGTTTATTATTAAGACCCCCAATATATATATATATATATATATATATATATATATAT